CACAGACCCTCAAATGCTCCTCTCACCCCACATGTGCCCCCAACAACCTCCGACGGTCCTTTATCCACTTATCCTGGCAGTTCCCACACACATCCCATCAGCCCTGACATACATCCCTCTCACTCACACTTCAGTTCCACTAGACATAGACCCCAACATCCCTCACTCATCCCCAACATCCCAGATCCCAACTGCCACCACGCATCCTCCACAGCCCCCACAACTCACCTTAGCCCACCATCTTTCACTAGTCTTTAACCCCTCACCATGTAGCCCTCCAAAACGCCCCTCTCACCCCATAGCCCATCACCCACCACTCCCAGAACCTTCTTAGCCACTCACCAACTCAGTAGTCTGCTTTTGTCCCAGGCTATGTTGGCTTCTCCCAATCCCACCCACCCAGCTCTGCTCACTTCCATTGCCCACTCTGCACTCACAGGGCCCGGTGCTGCTCAGGTTTGGTTCAGCCACTTCTCTGTCATGACAGAGGGGTAGCCAGGCCAAACTTGAGTGAGAGGTGTTGCAACCTGGTGCACAGGGTTGCAGCACTGCTCAGGTTTGGTGTGGCCATCCTTCCATCTGACAGCAGGACAGCCAGGCCAAATTTGAGTGAATGGCATTGTGACCCAGTGCACAGGGTTACAGTGCTGCAGAGTTTCCTTTGTTTTTCCCAGTTGTCAGCAACCCGCTGAGATGGGGGTCCTGTGGAAGTGAAATGAGTGCACATTGGTTAATCTGGCCCTCTCTTCAATTTCCAGTTTTATTAATTTTAAGGATTTCATAGACTCGTAGGACTCGAAAGGACCTCAAGAGGTCATCTAGTCCAGTCCCCTGCACTCATGGTAGGACTAAGTATTACCTAGACCCTCCTGGCAGGTGTTTGTTTAATCTCCTCTTAAAAATCTCCAATGATGGAGATTCCATAACCCCCTAGGCAATTTATTCCAGTGCTTAACCATCCTGACAGTTATGAAGTTTTTCCTAATGTTCAAGCTAAACCTCCCTGGCTGCAATTTAAGCCCATTGCTTCTTGTCCTATTCTCACAGATTAAGGAGAACAGTTTTTCTCCCTCCTGCTTGTAACAACTTGTTATGTACTTGAAAACTGTTACCATGTCCCCTCTATCTTCTCTTCTTCAGACTAAGCAAACCCAATTTTTTCAATCTTCCCTCATAGGTCATTTTTCTAGACCTTTAATAAATTTTGTTGCTCTTCTCTGGACTTTCTCCAATTTGTCCACATCTTTCCTGAAATGTGGTGTAATCAACATGGAGTAGAGCAGAAGAATCACTTCTTGTGTCTTGCTTACAACACTTCTGCTGACATATCCCATTTGCCTGATTTAAATCCTGCAGCAATACTCCATTCTCTCACACACAAACACACTGCCTCCCCTTATACCCATGTCAATATACACATACACAAGAGCCAATCATCCAATCCATTGTTCACTTACTGTCTCCTAAACACACCTACAGACGCTCCCCGACTTACGCAAGCATTCTGTTCCAGAACGCCTTGCGTAAGTTGAATTTTGCGTAAGTCGGGAATGTATACCAGACAATTACGCAAAAAAAAAGCTTACGGGACTTGCGGAACTTTTTCCGTAAGTTCGGATTTGCATAAGTTGGGTTTGCGTAACCTGGGGAGAGTCTGTATTAATGTTGTTGTGCCCCTTTCCTTCGATAGTCAGTTATCTCTTTTTCCAAGGCTTAAGCCCCTTTCCTTTTTACCAAGACTTTCATAGAACTTTCTTTGTATTTAGGATTCTTCTGAGAGTGATTGTCCACACAGATTCCACTCTAGGTGCACATGTGCCCCATGCATGTGAGATCAGATTCTTTTTGAATAGCAGTGTCCACTGGTGCTGTACCTGTACACTGGGAGTCCTCATGACTACCATAGCTCAGGGTGCTGTTTAGACTAGCTACCCCAGACAGAACCGTTCCATTTATCGAGGAGGCCTATTGCTTCTCCAGAGCACAGATGTTCTCCTCTGAAGGATTGTGTACATATACATTCCACTGTAAGAAACAAGGTATCTCTGAAATCTGTTCACCTTCCAGGGGTAAGGAACACAATTGTGGATTTCCTCCGAAAGGATTTCATAGACCAGCATAAGTGCCCAATGAGGAAGGATATTCTTCTCCGGATCTTCTACCAGTGGAAACATCTGATAATAAATTTATTTCTGGCTAATCTGAACAACAAGTGCAAGAGTGTTTGCTCCAGGGTGAGCCACAGCCCCAGTTCCATTACAGATGCCTTCCTTCTCCCTGGGTCCACTCATCTCCTATTTGCATTCCCTCCAGTTCTTCTCATCCCAAAAATACTCCGAAAACTGAAAAGGCACAAGGCAACATTAATTCTAGTGGCATTGGCTTGGCCAAGCAGTATTGGTTCACACACCTACATCAGCTCTCCATCCAGTCACTGATAATCTTGCCCCGAGTCAAGGATCTTCTCTCTCAGAACCAGGGCAAGTTTCAGCTTCCCAACCTCCAATCTCTCCACCTCATTGCATGGATGATCTCTGGTTGCGTACTCACAAGAGAGTGTGTCCAAGACAGCTTGGTGAGCATCAGAAAAGAATCTATTAGAGCCACATATGCAGCAAAGTGGAAGAGGTTTTTGATCTGAGCGCAATTTCAACAGTTACTGCTCCATCACACAGAGGTTAGACATATACCAGACTGCCTTCTGCATCTGAAATCATCTGGCCTTTCAAACAGTTCTGATCACTTCGCTTCCATATCTGCAGTACACTCACCAGTAGGTGGGTTTTCTATTTTCTCTTACTTTTTGGTTTCCAGATCTAGTCAATGTCTTCCTTCCCATGTCTGATCCAATAACATGAAGGGATCTTAACCTAGTTCTGTACAGGCTAATGGTTCCCCCTTTGATCTTCTGGCAACAACTTCACTATCTCTGTTATCTATAAAGACTGTGTTTTTGTTGGCAATCACCTTCACAAGGAGAGTTTCAGAACTTCAAGCTCTCCTAGCTGACCCTCCTTTCAATGTCTTCCATAAAGATGCAGTGAAAAGCAGTCTGCGTCCATACTATGGAGTGTAGCTACATACAGCAAAAAAGGTTCCGAGAGCAGGGAAAGGCTGCAGTGGGGAAAACTTCCCCCTACCCAGAGCCTTTCCCTGCTGCTGGAGCAGCAGCAGGACATTACAC